GGGGGGAGAAAGGAAGAGATAGGGGAGGCCAGAAAGCAAGGCAGGGTGAGGGTAGTGAGAGTCACAGCGAGGGTGTCGAGGAAAGCGCCAAGAGTAGCCAACCGTAGGCCTACTTCATGTATTCATTCAGCCAATTGGATTTAGCGCGCACTCCGAAGGATGAGTGTATTTTCTGCACAATGTCTAGATGAGATCTAGAATCAAGAAGAACCATGAAATGAAAGTAGAACCTAGATCTGTGATATTTCGATAACCTTTTGAATATTGAAAGTGGATTTTTCTTGCTGTGCATTGGATTCTAAAATCTAGATCTAGGCTAGATCTAAATCTATATGTGAATCTTATATCGAGATTTAAAAAAATGAAAGTATTCTTGAAGGTGGATTTTTCCTGCTGTGAATAGATCTAGAAACTAGGCCATCTGTTAAAAATGTGAATTTCTAAACTTAGATATATCTATAGGCCTAGGCTCCTTCTTTCAATTATTGGCCTATTTACTTGGATTTACTTGGATCCAGATCTAGAATCATAGCAGGCGGCACATGTCCATAGCTGCTCATCTCTCCTTTCCAGCGTCCACCTCAGGGTCTTCCTGCTATTTGTCTCCACGAGGAGCTGGTTTGAGACACGCCTGACCACTCCTCGGAGCAAACTTTTTTTCGCTGTGCCCCGCACACACTTTTCATTTATTGTGCTGAGTGTGTGGGAGTCTGTCTCCTCTTGATCGTGAAGGCTCTCCTTGCATCTGGCGATCACCACTGGTGGGTCGAGCATGATTCGGCCATTGGGTGCTGCTTTGCCGGCAAGTTCGTCAGCACGCTCATTTCCATGCACTCCGGCGTGACCAGGGCAGAACACCCATGTAATCCTTAGGAGGTGGCTATTAGCAATGGAAGCTCTCCAGTCACTGTAGAGCCACCCACTACTGATTTTTTCTTGGGTGCTCATTGAATCTGTGACGAACAGGGCATGTGTATACGCTTCCATACTGATCCATTCCAGCGCCTCTGTTATTGCCTTGACCTCCATTGCCATGCTCGATGTATTGACCTATGCCTTTATAATAATTCTAGATCTAGGCTAGATCTAGAATCTAGATTAGGTTTTTCTAGGAAGCAACAATTGGCATGTAGGCCTAACTCTTTTTTAAAAAGTGATTGAGCTGGAACTTAAGGAGAAAAAGTCACGCTTTCGAAGAGGGGGAAGAAGTCTTACCCCTAGAGGTAGTCAAGAGGGGGTGCTACATGGATAAATTCAAGGTAAAATATTTGCGTTTTGTTTCTTTCCTGTTTTCAGTCTTTTTCCTCTTCTTAACTTTCCTAATACTTCTTCATTATTACTCCGTTCGTAGAACGGGTGTTTTTACTACTACTACTACTACTACTACTACTACTACTACTACTACTACTACTACTACTTCTACTACTACTGCTACTGCTACTGCTACTGCTACTGCTACTACTGCTACTGCTACTGCTACTGCTACTGCTACTGCTACTGCTACTGCTACTGCTACTGCTACTGCTACTGCTAATAGGCCTAATATATTTCCATGCATGCCGTCAGCTTAATTGATATCATACAGGACGGCATTGGTTCGAAAACTCAATGTTCTTGGAATTAAATTATAATGAGAGTTTTAGAGGCTCTACACCTACTATCGGAGATGGACGTTAAATTTGAGTTTGCACCACTAATATGACCTAAAACTGTTGATAGGAGTGTTCAAACCTGTAGCCTACAACTACCACCAAGTTATCAGTCGGCGTTATGATAGTAGTTTTATTCCGTTCTAAACACCATATAAGTGTTTTTAGCGGCGGAACATCCAGTTTAGTGGGTTTTTATATTCCCTGATTAACAAATAACTCTAGGTCAGTGGTACCCCTTTTGTTGAAATTATATCTATGTTGTTCTGTCAGTGTCGGAGCACCAGTGGTTATCGTATAGCCAAGATCACTGCCATTTGAAGTTTAAATCTAAAGCTCAATGCTTCTGAGATTTTCCTTGTTACTTAAGTCTCAAAGCTTCTAAGGTTTCCTTTGTTACTTAAAATTTAATGCTTATACCCCACCCCCCCTGACTAGCACAGTAGTAGTAACTGATGTTTACAAACGATTGAGATAGAACATTTCACTTTTAAAAAAAATCAAAACACAAGCTTGGCTTTTTGTTACGTTCCAGCTATTCTTCCCCCGTACAACCCAATTTTAGTTTCTTTTCAACATTTACATTTTCCTACCCTGTTTCTTCTTCCCAATTTTCAGTCAAATAAAAAAAAAAAGTTAAATTATTTTCCTAAACTGTTGATAAACAGTACCAGCATCTAAAAGATGTTAACTGACACACACACCCTAAACCTGGTGGGTATAATTTTGAATGTGCAACTTTAAATGCCCTCCCCCCTCCCAATAAGTTTTTAAATTTAAAAGGAGAAAACTAAATCAAGACAACTCAGATCATTTTGGAGGCACGCTTTGACCCTGCCTACCAGGTCCAACAAAGGCTGAGGGAGATACACGTGCAAGCAGAGCGAGCGAGGTACTCGCAAGAAAAATTCCTTCATAGGGCTTAATCTGGGGTCTCCTAACTATATGAAGGCGAAGCCACCAAATGTCCATGCCACAGAGTGGATATGGACGTAAAAAAAACGAGGAGTAGAGAGTCAAAAATGGTCACATCAAAGCAGTCGTCCTCGTCAAGAGTGGAGACCTGACTTCAAAGGCCACCATTAACGATTTATTAGTCTTCCACTATCAATATTTCATAGCCAGGCACCAACGCAGCACGTAAATGACACCTGTCGTCAGCACACCACTGTGATGCAATATGGATGAGAGGATAAACATTTTTTTTAAAGTCTTTTTATTTCTCCATCCTCAGATTGATACAAGCGACCAGAAGACTGCCAGTTTCTATGACTTCGGAGACTTAACTGCATCAACTGTGCGGGAAGAGACTATGTTCAAGGCTCCTGTGATTCCTTCCTATCTAAACGATCGTATGGTTCTTTCTCTGCAGTCGAGTCGTTTTGAATTACCGATGGATATGAAGTCTTTGGAAAGTGAGTGTTGTTGCACGATATTTTGTGCAATCAAAATTAAATAACGTGGCGAGGATTTTGTAAACTCATCTTCAGCGGTAAAGAAACTTATTTGGGAAAGGTAGATTCTCTCAGGTTAACACAGTCTTAACGGTTGGTTTGATGGAGAAATCGGATATGAAATTGATTGTCTCGCACCCACGTCGATGACGCAGCGGTTAGGCTCCTTTTGTTGGGCGGGTGGAGGGGGGAATATACGTCAAAATTAAAACAAAATTATAGAAACAACTAGCAACAATCAAATTTGAGAAAAAAGTTTGATTCTATGGATACGGCGGCCATATTGGATTTTGAAGACAAGTCTTACGTAATGAATATAGCACTTATTTTTTTTAAAGGAAACTGATTGTTTATTTGCAGGCATGTTAGGAAACATTAGACCTAACAATTTGTTTGTTGATTTTTGCCAAAATGAATCAGATACATTTTTTTTCTCCTGAGGCAGCGTTCAAGATTGCAACAACAAAAATCCTAGAAAATCCAGACTACAGACACCACCAACAAAATTCTATTCCACATCTCAAAAATTCAACAGACAACATTTATGTATTATATCTTCTCTTCATTCTGTGAAAATTTCATGAAGATGGGATAAAAAATGGTGGAGTTATTTTTAAAAAAGTATACACCCAAGAAGAAGGCGTCCACCAGGGAAGCATCTTTTCACCGATTCTCTTCGAAATTAAAATCAATTCCATCACAAAAACCCTTCAAAACAATATTGACTGCTCACTTTACGTTGACGATTTCCTGATCTGCTATAAATCCAAATCCAAAATGGATCACATTAAACGTCAGCTTCAGCTTCAACTGCATAAACTGGAAACTTGGGCAAACGGGCACGGGTTTAAACTTTCTACAATAAAAACAAACTTGGTACATTTTTGTCTGTCGCACAAGTTTGTACGACAACCAGATTTATATTTGTTTGGAGAGAAAATTCCTGTTAAAAAACAAGCTCCTTTCCTGGGCATAATCTTCGACAATAAACTTTCTTTCCTACC